AGGGTCTAGGCGAGCCCATGTCTACACTGGCGGGTTATGGCGCAAGAACAGCTGTTCTTCCCCAGCGCGTCCACACGGCCCCCCCGCTCTTGCGCAAGATTTACAGTACGGCGCGGTAAGAGGGGGCTTCTTGTGCAAGAGCTACGCTCTTTTCTAGCGGGTGTCAGCCCTCTGGCGCAAGAGGGCAGTGTGGACGCGCCGCAGGGGTTGCTTGCGCAAGCAAGCCCGATGGCTAAAATGGACATCGGCGCTTTCTTGCGCAAGAGAGTGTCCATGCTGCCAGGGATGCTCTTGTGCAAAAGCACAGCCCGCACATGGCAGCGTGCAAGATGTTCCTGCAGAAGAAGCTGCCAGTGTAGACATAGCCCAAGTGATTCTCCCCTCACAAACAGAGGCTAAGGCCACCACTCCTGCCCAGCCTAGCTCCAAAGCATTAATTGTCCTATCTTCCATGAATGTATCTAGTGCATGGGCAGTGGGTGAAGGTAGGGCTGGCGGAGGCAAGGCTCCATGCCCATGAGAGCTAGGGCCCCCTCCCTGGCCCTGGAGCACAGGGAGAGCAGGCAGTGCGTGGCCCCCAACCTCCCCGGCCCCGGTAGAGTCTGGAGGGGGCCAGACTGGCAGGTTGGGAAGGCAATGCCTTCCCCTATGTGTAATAGCCGTCGCTCCTGCTATGGTTCTTTTTTGAACCCTGTTATAGTCTTGGTCTTCACAACATCCTGTGGCAAAGAGTTGCCCAGGTTGACTGTGCGCTGTGTGAAGAAATACTTGGGTTTGTTTTTAAACCTACTGACCAGCTCCTGAAGCTCAAGAGTGGCTGTTTCTCCAATAAAAACTGCTCCCCTAAAACACACGACCTCACTCCCCTGGGCACAGCGAGGCAGAGAGGTAGACAAACCCCGCTCCCTGGCCAGTTTCTCAGCTCACACTCTGCCTCCCATTTTCCAGACTGTCCTTGCTGCCACAGCGAATTCAGCACCTCTCTGAGTTCTGTCCCACTCCCGGCCCTTGAGCCCGGCTTCTGATCTCTTTCTGCCTCTGTGTTTAGCCAAGAGAAGAAGAAAACTAACTCCAAACCCAAACACCTTCATGAGCAGGAGATCCCCTATCGGCTTCGGGAGCTCATGAAGAGCAGAGAGGAGATGAAGAACCCCAAGAGCAGGAAGAGAAGGAAAGCAGGTAAAGACCAGCCTCCTTTATTCACTTATCTGAGATCCCACCGCACCCAGACTTTGCGGCTGTGTCTAGACTGGCGGATTTTGCGGAAAAACTTATCAGCTGTCTACACTGGCTGCTTGTATTTCCGGAAAAGCACTGACGATCTCCTGTAAAATCATCAGTGCTTTTCCGGAAATACTATGCTGCTCCCGTTCGGGCAAAAGTCTTTTTCCGAAAGACTTTTGCGCGAAAGGGCCGGTGTAGACAGCATAGTATTGTTTTCCGCAAAAAAGCCCCAATCACGAAAATGGCGATCGGGGCTTTTTTGCGGAAAACTACGTCTAGATTGGCCACGGATGCTTTTCCGCACAAAGTGCTTTTGTGGAAAAGCATCCTGCCAATCTAGATGCTCTTTTCCGAAAATGCTTTTAACGGAAAACTTTTCCGTTAAAAGCATTTTCGGAAATTCATGCCAGTCTAGACGTAGCCTGCCTGTTTACACCTATGTTGGCTTCGCTGCAGATAGGCCCTGACCCCGCTCTAGGGGATCAGACTGCACGTCCCCCCAGTTCTGGTTCCAGAGGTGGCCAGCATTAGCTGCGTCAGAGCCCCTGTAGGAGGCAGCTCTGGCGTAATCAGCCACAAGGTGTTCCTTCCAACTTATGTGCCCTGTGCATGTGCGGCTGGCACCAACCCTAGAAACTAGGGATGTAAAATCCTGGTTAATCAGTTACCTCAGACTAAGCGGGATCCCGCTCCCTCGGATGGCAGCCAGCAGCCGCATGCACATGGGAATTGGCTTTTGCTCCTGGCCCCACTGCGCACAGGGGACTGGCTCCTGCTTCCCCGAGGGGCTGGAACAACCCTCCATCCATGGCAGGCTGCAGACAAGGGGGGGTTGCTCCAGCGTACCAGTTAACTTGTACCCAGTAAGCGTCACCTGGTAAACGCACGCTGCCGTGCTCTGCTAATCGCTTGGGCAGCAATCTCCTGTGGGCAGCTGCCCAAGTGCTCAGCTTACAGGGAACCTTTGCCAGTTGACGGTCGTCTCGGGCTCTGACACAGGTGGGAGAAAATCAGGCTCCAGCACTCCTGGATCTACCTCCGTTCGCCTCTTGCTGTTGGTCAGACTCTCAGCTGTCCGGTACTGCCACTATAGCAAAGTCTCACTCATCTCAGGCTAGAAGAACGGGGTGAAGGAGGGGAGGGGAGGGGATGCCAATGTACCCGCCTGTTCAGTCTCCTGGAATCTGCTGGGTTCTGAGGCTGCCGAGCGACTGCATGAGGCTGGGGAACTGACTAACCCTCAGAAGAGTCAGGTTCTGGGTGGGCTTCCAATGCAGGGGTACTGTGCAGACACCCTAGCGAGAGCCTCCGTCCCTGGGAGTGGTTCTGCCTGGGCACGGGTAGAGCTCACGGCTCTCTTCCCTCCTCTGGCGAGTGCTGCTGTGATCTTAGCTACAGGGAGCAAAGAGAAGCCCGCAGCCCCGGGTGACATTCCCGTGCCCACGTTCAAGCGGCGGAAGCGAGAGGGGGAGCAGGCCTACATCCGGCGCATGGAGCAGGAGACCCAGCGCGTCCTGTTTCTCACCCAAAACCAGCTGCAGCGCGAGCCTGAGAAGGAGGAGCCGGAGCCGGAGAAGTCACAGAAGAAGAAGGAGTAGGTGTGGGGCATGGGGAAGGCGCTGAGGTTGCCAGGTGCGGGCCAGTCACGGCTCCCAGTGGCTGGGGGCGGGCCAAAACAGCGGTGTGCC